AAAAAAAAAAAAAAAAAAAAAAAAAAAAAAAAACAGCTTTGCATCACTAAACGGTATTCTGAGTGCCAGTCTCAAAGTCAACAATCGCGAAATCTTTAAGTTATCAAAATGATGACGTTACTTTCAGAATTGTAAGTATGCGATATTAAAGCTAATAAGGAGCAATGCTTTTGATTTAGAAGAGCAATTTTTAAGCTTAATACCATCTTTAACTGAAAAGGTGAGAAGAAAACAAAGTTTAAGTCGCAAAAAATCAAAGTTACTTTTTCAAACCTGTTAATTCAACTTACAGGTGACTTCTTCATAAGCTCATAACGAGTTATTTTGATGTTTAATTTTGGATTCATTGATGAATGCCCGAAAAGTGCACCTATCTGAAAAAGCGATATTACTGCTAATACGGTTAAAAAATTGGTTCTGTTAGGAGGTGAAAAAAAGTTCCCGTGTAAGGATTAGTTATCACCTATAGCTTACATTATTAACAATGGCTAGCACATATCGTTGTAATTCTTTTTCAGCTTTTTGCCCATATAATTCATTAAAATAGAACCAAAGAGCGTCATCAACAAATACGCCAAGTTCAATTGTCAATTCCTGAATGCTGCAATTTGATCAGTTGAATTTAGCATTTTTTTTACCACTAGTTTTACCAGCGTAACATTTCAAATCGAGTATTTCTCTGCTTCAGAGTTGTTTTTTACTGTTTCCTTTCAAATTATAAAGTTCTTTAACAACAGCAGTTGCAACTACAACGACAACACTAGAAATAAAAATTCCAAATTTGGAAGCCCTAATTTGCTATTGTGATTTACTAAAGACCTGTTTATAATTGATAATTTTTTTTCATCATTTAATGAAACAAACTAGGTAAAATTACTACAGTTTACTTCTCCGTAATAGTGGCACTAAAGTGGTGACATCAAGATCAAACTACGCGAAAATATGTTTACAATATTACAGTCAGTCTAATTTTTGAAGAACAATTAACAGGTTAATGACGTAAAAAAAAAGCTGTTTTTTCTCTCTTCACCAGCTTCTAACTAGCCGAACGACTTGTTAAAATTGCTATAACCGAAAAATAACAAAAAAACTAGGAAGTAAATAAATAATGAAAAAATTTACCCGACCATATATAGATTCTGACCAAATGATCGAAAAAAATGACTGAATAAATCGTTGTCAGAAATTGGATCATCTCTAGCAGCTAAAATATCTCAACAATTTTAACAGATCAACTTTACTGGTTTACAATAACAGTTTTTAAGTTTTATTAACAAAACCTTATTTGTTTGAAAAACTGAAAAAAAAATCAGGCCATAAAATTGTTGCTTTTTTTTTGTTTGTCCGTCAAAAAAACTGATGTAATTAACAGTTACAAGAAAATATGTCATCATTGTTTAAAGATAAATAGACGAAAAAAATGAATTGTCAGTTGTTTTTCTCACATAAACCACAACTGTGATTTTTGGTGTCCAAGGAACGTTTCTGGATCACATGCTCTTTTGAACCCCTTCCAAGCATTGGTTGGATCAGATAGTAACCGTCATCTTTGATTACTAATCCACGCTGCAAAATCAAAAGTTTTTTTTTTCTTGTTCTGATACAGAAAATGCATATTTAATTGAAAGATAAAACTTTCTACTGTTGTTGTAACACCAGATTTCAACTTTGATCTATCAATTATCTGTCTACAGTCATTGAAGCTATTGTTTTCTCTGTGTGTGGTGCTTGCACAAGTGCCACTTTCTAAATAAACAGTTAGTCGATTCAACTGGTTTAGCATGTAAATAGTTTGTATGTCAACAATGATAGAATCAAAAAAGAAAAAAACCAGTACTCTTTACCTGTATACAATTAAAAAAAACCTCTCTTTTTTTAGTTATTTTTGAGTAATGAAAAAAAAAAGACAATTTATTAAAAGTATTTCTTTTGCCTTACCTTTGCTCTCACCCTAATTTTTGCTTTAAAACAGAAAGAAAAAAGAAGGAAAAGAAACAACAGGTGAAACAACATAAAACATCTACGAATTGCAATCAGATAACTGGCAAAAAAAAAAATAAATAAATTATTATCTATGAAATCTATGTTTGACATCGACAACTTATTTACGGTTTCAAATTATATGCATTTTTTTTTGCCGGCTACCAACAAGACCAACGACAAAAAAAGATGTAAAATTCAAAAATTTTTCAATTTTTAGTTTTTTTTTATCAGTCTTTATTTGTTTTCTTTTTTTCTTTTTTTTTATTAATCTTTGGTGTCAGAGAAGTAAAAAAAAAAGTGAGAGAATACTTTAGATTTGAATTCTATTTTTTTACAGCTTTTTTAAAATAAATGATAAAAAAAATACTTTGCATTTTTTCAGGTAGAATCTAAACATTTTTTTTCTGAAATGATATCAATGTGTGGCACCAACTTAATTTACCCTTTTTTTTAACAATTTTTGAAGATACATTAGCGAGCATTGAATGCTCAGAATGAGTTAGCAAAAAAGAAGCGCTTATGAGCACAAACAGTTCAATTTTTCCTTTCGTAGACTTTTAATGCTTTACTATTATGCTTTTTTCGTATTTATTTCATTGACCTTAACACTGGAAAGCAAATTTATAAGTCAGTATCGTAAGAACGAAGGTTAAGGTTTAAAACCAAGAAAACCTTTTTAAATTAGCTCTGGTTTAAACTTTGAAATTAATGTTGTGCTTTTGCCTACATTACCACTAAACCATCGCTGATTAACGATCTGAACCTTACGCTGTTACTGCCGTACTCAACTAAGGCAATTCGAGTATTGTTGTGACTGATACTTTCGCCAACGTAGATAGAGTTGGCTTCAAAATCAGCATCTTCTAGCGTATCGCCATTTCGCACCACAGAATGAAAACCTGAGAAGTCAAAGGATAGATCAAACCAGTAAGAGACATTTACGGATTACTGAACTATTTAAAGTAAAGCAAAAACTGGCTAAAACTGTAGTATCGGTTGATGTACCAAACATTGGTGCTACTGTCACTTCTAATAACACCAGAACAGTAATTACCAGGACTAAATGATCACTCACCAGAACTGAAAATATCTTCTTTTTTTTTTAATCGGAAACGATATTCTTCCCCTTGAAAAGTCACCGTATAAACTAAACCATTCCTGTCGATGACTTTTGAAGGTTTATCTATCCAGTAATTGTCCACTAAACAAACATTATTCAATTCAAATAAATTTTGTTTACCCGACACTTTCTGCCATATTTTCTGTTCACCAATTTGTTTTTTTTTTTTTGTTAGCAAAAATTCGTAATTAATCATCAAATAGTCTTTTAAAAATAATGTGAAAAAAAAATAAGCGCAATAATATTTAAGGTGTCTATTTTGAACAACGATAAAATTGAACAAAGCAGTCAAGAAAAACAATTCTTTTTCTTTTTCTGAAAATATAAAAAGCAAAAAGACTAAAAAAGAAATTATTTGAGGATCACCGTGAGTATTGTCTTGAACACCAAACAAGTGAGATAATTCAGTTTCGCTGTAGTTGTTAAAACAACATGTTAAAGTCTAAAATAAACTGAGTAAGTTTGATAAACGTTGTAAAACGATAACCGTTATAACCATACAACAGGTATTAGTCGGCCACCATTTATTTCAATATCCACAGTGTGTAACAATGATTAGTTATTCCATCAATTTTCTTCTATCCATTTCTTTCGCAAATCAAATTTTCTTTTTTTTTTTGATAGCTTTTTGAATTTTATTGAACAAAGAAAAATGTCAGCGTTTTTTTTTTTCGGTTTCAAATTTCCCAGCTGATTTGTTCGCTGGTCTTTATTAAGCGTTAAAACTTACCAAGACAAAAAAGACGACAATGCTGACCACTTTAAGCAGTAGAAATAAAATTTTCAGTGACATCTCTCAGAACATTGTTAGCATCAATCTAAACAAAATAGAAAGAAAGAGGAGAGAGTAGATTATATTTGTTATTATCAATAAATGATGATAAAGTGAAATGAAAAGAAGAAGTTACACTAAAGAAAAATAGACTATCTATCTCATCAAAAAGTTATTATCCCTATTACGATTACTACTACTACCGCTACTGCTACTGCTACTGCTACTGCTGTTACTACTGTTATTACTACTAAGACAGTTAGTGTGCAAAGCAAGGAAACAACAACAGTAGTGACACTGAGTAACCGGAGAAAATAATAAGCATCAGCACGATGATAATGGCTACAACAGTAGCGACAGCGACGACGGCAACAGTAACAATAACGTTGACAACAAAAACAACCAAAAAATGATGTATTGATTTGTTGATGAAAAGTCAAAGTAGCTTAATAAGAGTACAAGTAAAAAAAGTAATTCTACACAAATAATTAATAGCAAAAAAAAAACCTTTTTTCTAAAGTAAAAAAAAAGAAGAAAAAAACTATTTTATTTTTGTACCCGGCGGTAATTCACTGTAATTTGGGGCGCATCATTGAAGCATTTTGAGCAAAAATGAAACTCGTTTTTTACTCTCATCTGTTTTCTGTGTATTTTTGTCTTTTTTTTTTATTTTTTAGCTTTTTTTGTGTCTTCTTTTTCATCTTCTTCTCTTTTTTTTTCTGCTTTTTCTTATTCTTGCCTATACGT